GTAAACCTTGGGAGTATAATCACAATATGTTCTCTGCCATCATGCAGTGTGCAAGAGCTGTGGTAATATGGCTACCTCCACATATATTCTGATGGATAGAGACAAAGGGATGCTGTAAGGGCAGTACCCCCACAATTAGCCCCCACTAGGGCATTGACCAGTGGAGGTGTGGAGGCAGGGCTGCCTCCATGATCCTAAGCTAGTAAAATGACCTGTATATAGTTCCAGCCTGGGAAAGCCCCAGGCACTTGACTCTAACATAGGAGAGCTGCAGGGTTGGGCTGCACCCAGAAAAGCCATGGGCTGCCCAAAGTCTTGGTAATAGGACCACTACACAAGTGGTCCTTAAGGAGTCTAAAGGTGGGATTCCCACTCTAGTGGGCCTTAAGGTTTTAGACTTGCTCAGAACCTGTTACTCCTTTCTTCATCCCCATTTCTCCCTTTCCTATGCCTGTTCCACCATTGTATTTGGGAATCCCCTAACTTGTTTGATGTCACAGGTTCACAGCTGGAGAGTAGTTTGCCTCAGGATGAATTATCTTACCCATATCTGATTTAGATGATATTGAGATGAGACATTGCACTTAGACTTTTGAGTTGATACTAGAAAGAGTTAACTTTTGGGGGTAAAGGGATGAAATGAATGCGTTTTGCATGCAAGGAAGACATGAATTTGGAAGGCTAGAGGCAAAAGGCTGTGGTCTGAATGTGTCCCCCTAAAATCCTTATGTTGAAGATTAATCCCCAAAGGTAATGGTATTAGGAGGTGGGGCCTTCGGGAGGTGATTAAGTCATGAGGGCTCTGCCTTCATGGGATTGGTGGTCTTATAAGAGACTCCAGAGAGATCCTTGCCCCTTCCATCATGTCAGGACATAGCAATAAGTCTGCAGGCTACATCCAGAACAGGGCCTTCACTAGAACCTGACCATGCTGGTACCCTGATCTTGGACTTATTCCAGAACTGTGAAAAATAAATTTTCACTCTTTATAAGCTACCCAATCTCTGGTATTTTGTTATAGTAGCCTGAACTAAGACACTCACACACTATTTTAATTACTGTAGCTTTATAATAAGTCTTGAATTTGGATAATGTCAGTCCTTAGAGCCTGTTCTTTTTTGATATTGTATTGCTTATTGTCTCTTTGCCCTTCCATATAAACTTTTGGGTCAGTTTTTGATATCCACAAGAGAACTGGATAGGATTTTCATTTGGATTGCATTGAATATATAGATCAATTTGAGAAGAACTGACATATTGAGTCTTTCTACCCGTGCATATGGAATATCTCTACATTTATTTAGCTCAATGATTTATTTTATCAGGGTTTTGTAGTCTTCTTCATATAGACTTTGTACATATTTTGTCAGATTTATAACTAAGAATTTAATTTTGCCACCGATGCAAAAAAGAAAAAAGTTTTTAATTTCATATTCCAATTGTCCAATTGCTGGTATATGAGAAATCAGTTGACTTTTGTTTATTAACCTTGTATCCTACAACCTTGTTATAATTGTTCATTAGTTCCAGGATTTTTGTTGTTGTTGATTGTTTGGAATGTTCTATATAGACAATCAGTAAATCTGTGAACAAAGACAGTTTTAATTTTTCCTCCCCAATTTATACTTACCAAAGTATACCTTTCACTTCCTTTTCTTTCCTTTTCTTTTTTTTAATTTCATGAACTGGGATTCCCAGTGTGATGTTGAATAGGAGTGGTGATAGGACATCTTTGCTTTGTTCCTGATCTTAAGGGAAAAGTAATTCTATCTTTCACTATTATGTATAATGTTAGCTGTATGTTTTTTGCAGATGCTCTTTATCAAGTTGAAGAAGTTTCCTTCTATCCTTAGTTTACTGAAGGTTTTTTTTATCATAAATGGGTATTAGATTTGTCAAATGTTTTTCCTGCACCTATTGATACAATAATATACTTTTTCTTCTTTAGTTTATTGATGTGATGGACTATATTAATTGATTTTTGAAAGTGGAATCAGCCGTACATACCTGCAATAAATCCACACTTGGTCATGGGGTTTATACAGTGTTGTATTCTATTTACTAATATTTTGCTCATGATTTTTGCATTTATATTCATAAGAATATTTCATCTGTACTTTTCCTTTATCATAATATCTTTATGTGGTTTTGGTATTAAAATAATTCTGGCTTCATAGAATGAGTTAGTAAATAATCTCTGTGCTTCTATTTCCTGGAAAACATTGCAGAGAATTGGTATAATTTCTTCCTTAAATGTTTTATAAGATTTACTGGTGAGCCCATTTGGGCCTGGTGCTTTCTGTTTTAGCAGGATATGAATTGTTGATTCAATTTATTTAGTAGATATCAACCTATTAAGATTGTTTCTTTTTGTGTGAATTTTGGTTTATCGTATCTTTGGAGGAATTGGTCCATTTCATTGTGGTTATCATGTTTATAAGAATAAAGCTGTTCATACTGTTCCTTTATTTTCCTTTCAATGTCCATGGGATCAGTAGTGATTGTCCCTCTTTCATTTCTGATCAGTGATTTGTTTCTTCTCTTTTTCTTAATTAATCTGGTTAGAGGTTTATCAGTTTTCTTGATCTTTTCAAAGAACCACCTTTCGGTTTTGTTGATTTTCTCTCTTGATTTCCTGTTTTCAATTTCATGGAAATCTGCCCTACTTTTTATTATTTCTGCTTCTATTGAATTTTTTTTTCATAGTTTCATAAGGTGAAAATTGATTTCAGTTTGTCCATTTCTAACCTCATTTTACTTATCCATAAACTGAGTAGATTGTTATTTTGAACTTTCTCCTATTAGACAAACTAAGAAAAAGTGAATGAAAGGTTTTATTTACTATCACTTATTCCTCCTCTAATGCTCTTCCTTTCTTTATGAAGATCTGAGTTTTTGACCTATATCCTTCTCTGTGATGAACTTCTTTTAATGTCTCTTGCCAGGCAGATCTATTGGTGACAAATTTCCTCAATGTTTGTTTATCTTATGTATTTATTTCTTTTTCACTTTTGAAAGACAATTTCACTGGGTAAAAAATCCAGGCTGGTCACTTTTCTTTTCACACTAAATATTTCCATTCTCTCTTATCTTGCTTGCATGGTTTTTTAAGAAATTTGTGATGTAATTCTCATCTTTATTTCTCCTCCAGGAAGGTTTTTTTTGTTTTTTGGGTTTTTTTTTTTTGCTTTTGGCTTCTATCAAAATGTTTTTGTTTGTTTTGTATTTGTTTTGTTTGACTATGATATACCTAGGTGTAGGTTTTTTTGGTATATATCCTGCTTGGTGTTTTCTGAGATTCCTGGAATTGTGGTTTGCTTGTTGTCGTTAGTTTTGGGAAATTCTCAGTCATTATTGCTTCAGATATTTCTGCTGTTCTTTCTTTGTTTTCCTCCTGTATTCTAATTACGTATATGTTGCGCTTTTTGTTATTGTCCCTCAGTTCTTGGATATTCTCTTGTCTTTTTCATTCTTTTTTCTCTCTGCATTTCAGTTTGGAAGTTTGTATTGACATTTGTTCAAGTTCACTGATTATTTTCTTAGCTATGTCTATCTAATCCATTGATGTTTTCATCAGGGAATTATTTTCTGTTTTGGTGTTTTTGGTTTCTAAATTTCCTTTTGGTTCTTAAAGCTTCCTTCTCTGTTTACATTAGCCATCTCCTCTTTTATGTTATCCACTTTATCCATTACAGTTCTTAGCATATTAATCATAGTTGTTTTAAATTCTCAGTCTGACAATTCTAACAGATCTGCCATATCTGAGTCTGGTTCTGAAGCTTGCTGTGTTTCTTCAAACTGTGTGTTTTTATCTTTTAGTATGTCTTGTAATTTTTTGTTACAAGCAAGACATAATATACTAGGTAAAAGGAACTGAAGTGAATAGGTCTTTAGTATGAAGTTCTGTTTATCTGGCTTGATTTTAACCTGTGTTTATTGTTTGCCATAACTGTAGGTGTCAGAGACTACACTTACCTCTGGTATCCTTGTTTTTATTTCCCCTGTTGTTTTTGGTTTTCCCTAGAAACTTATTAAATATTACCTGAGAAGCGCAGTTCTTTTAATCATATCCCCCTGTTATTATCCAGGAGAACTACTGATGTGGTGGTAAGGTATGAGGGGAAGGGTAGCATTCTACAGTACTGTGATTGTATTTCTGTCTTTTAGTGAGCTGTGCTCCTTGCCTATGACCTTCACAAGTACTTCTCAGTTTTGTTTTAGTATTTCCCCTTAAAAGAGACAGGAAGACAAGCAAGGTCTGGGGTTGGATATTTCTCTTTTCCTAGGTCAGTTAAGCTCTTGTAAAATCCCAGTATTTTAGAGTCTGGTAAAACGTGTCTCTTGCAGGTAGGCCTTGTAAAGAGGAATGGAATGTTCTATGCATATTTTTAAATGGCTACTTTTCCTCTCCACCTCTCTGAAGCATAGAAACATGAGGCTATTTTTCTCAGATCTTTACAGTGAGAACTTGATAGTGCTCCTGGAGGTAAAATTCATAAAGGTGTGGGGGTCCCCCTAGGACTGGGCCCCTTTAGAACTTTCAACTGTCAAACTTGTCCACACTGAGCCTCTAGTGATTTGTAAATTACAGATTTGATTTTCATAACACTGTATTGTTTCCTAAGGAGTTCTCTGCTCCTGGACTTCTGCTGTACTAAGTTTAGATATCCTGTATCTGCCTCTCTATCTCTTCAGTTCTGGGGATAGTAGTTTGCCTTATAATTTCAGTTCTCTGTCAAATATAAGAATTTACTTTCATTTTGTTCTACTTTTTTCTGGTTATGTGTATAGAAGAGATAACTTCCCAGCTCCTTACATGCCTAACTGGAATGCAAGGAGATTTTTGAGACATCAAAGATGTGTTTGCTGTAAAGTTTCTGTCTCTTGAAATCTGCTTAGCATAACTATGTTTTAATTAACTTTATTTTTTCTTTTAAAGGGGTAAAAATTGAGATATTTTGGAACATTAATTTTTTTCTTATTTTTCTTTTCTCAAATAGATTCTAAATGCCCAGGAGATGTTGATTTTCATAGTAGTGACTGGGATATTAAGACAATCACCAGCTCCTTGAAATTCTACCTCAGGTATATCTGATATAATTTGGGACTCTGCTTTTTGCTATTCATAGTTGATGGAATTTGTCTGCACAGAGATTGGAGTTAATGTGGTCCCAGTTTCAAGAGGTTGAATTCTAAAGAAAGAGTGAAAACGATTTCTGTCAAAGAAGAATGTGCATTAGAAGACTTACTTTTAACCTGATAATTTAAGCAAAGGAAGTATCAGATAATACATTTGTTGTTGAAAAAGTGGCATAAAAATGATCATTAAAAAAAATCATCCTTTAAAATAATTGAAGTTTGCCATGGTACATAAAGCAATGTCACAATGGGCTCACTAAAGTAAAATCAAGAGTTGTGACAATTCATGGTTATTAATGTGTTTTGGGGGAAAATAACCATTTAACAACATTAAGTTGCATTTGTGCAGACATAACATGTGTTTGTATGTGTGATGTGTTATATATCATGCCTTAATCCTTATAATGGAAGTGGAAACCATGAAAATACAACCATAAAAGTGTTGTAACTGAATGAAGTGGCAGCAGTAGAAAAAACATTTAATTTATCAGCAAAATATAGGGATGTACAATGATGATGAATACATCATTCTGTTTATTGGCATAAATTTATTACATAAAATATTTCTGATATATAAACTCATTCATTTCTTACCATATGTCTCATAGTATGCACCATATTTTATGTGCTAAGATGTCTTATTTTCAGTTATCATACTCTTTAGGCATTAAGATAGATGCTTAAACTCTGGGAAATAGCATTAATCCAAAATAGATTGAATCCCAGATATTGCTGTGAAATAACCTTTTGCCATACCATCATCTTAGAACTTTATATAAACATGAATACTCTTTCTAGGAGTATTTCTCCTGCATCTGCCAAAAAAAAAAAAAAAGAAAGGCAGTGTTGTTGTAGGGTTTCTTCTGTGCTAGGCAGTGTTCTAGTCATTTACATTGACAGTATAATTGTTTTCTCACAATAACCCTGGAATGTAAGTAAAACTATATTCATTTTACAGACAAGGACATTGGCATGCACTCCCTACCCCATGAAGTAATATCCATGGTCAGAGCTCATATTATGTGAACCTAAGTACCTCTTACTTCTAAGGCTACTGGTAATAGGGCATCTTTTCCCCTTCTTCCCCACCCAGGATCTGTGGTCTCCTTGGAGTTGCTTAGGTAATTTAGTAAAGACAGAGAGTATTTAACCAGTATGCATACTTTTAGAAGACTTATGATGAGGAGAAAAATGTAAGTGATTGTACATCTCTAGCCTCCTTCAAAGAAGTCAGTTTTTTCTAAGATTTGTATAGGTTAAGACCCTCCCCACATTACATTATTCCCAGCTTGTCACATAATAAGCAGTGTGGCCCTTTTGAAAGATTGAAAGATTGAGCCTGAAAATATGAGTGGGCATCACTCCTAATAAGAGGTATTTGTCTTTAAGACTCTTATCCATGGGCCTTTAATAAGCACTCACCAGAGTGCCTTCTTAGTGCAGTAGGCAGCTCATGAACCTCATAATAAGCCAGTCAACACCCTCTAGATTTTTCAGAAATATCTGTATTTTCAGAGTGGTTCTCTTCCATCTGTGTTCTAGGTAACTAATTCACCCATTATCTCCAGCATTTCCAGAGAAGTATTCTAAAAATCATCCCTTCTCGCTCCTGTACCTTTAACCTCTCTCATTCAGTTGGCTCTTTCCTCTCAGCATATAAATATGCTCCAGCAATGTTTACCTTCTTGACTCTATGTGTTCTTTCATTTATTTATCCTATCATTCACTGAATCATTCAATGAACAATTCCTGAGTGTCTGATATGTGCCTAGCATGGTGCTAGGCAGTAGGCATACAGTTGTGAATAGATATGGTCTCTGATCTTAAGAAGGTTATAGTCCAGTGAGGGGAGCAGATAAAAGACAAAGAAACATACAAGTATAACAAACTACAATAATTGTTCTAAAGGAAATGTACTAGGTGCTATGAAGGCATATCATAGGAAGATCTGATTTATTATGGTTGTTTGATTGAACTGAGGTTTGAATTATAATTTGGAGTCAACTGGGGGAGAGGCAGTTCTAGACAGAGACAGCTGCATGTGTGAAGGCCTTGAAACAAGAAAGAGGAAGACTCCTTCAAGTAGCTACATGTGTCAGTATAGAGTATTGAGTATATATATATAGAGAGAAAGATATGTAGGGGCTGCATTATGCAAGGCCCCAGTAAGATATTTTAAGGATTGGAGTTGGGATTTACATTAAGAGGAATTAGAATATATTGAAAGATTTTAAGAAGAAGGTTACATAATGAGGTTGCATTTGGAAAAAAAATATTTAGGTATCAGATTAGAGGGAACCAAAATAGGTAGAGGTGGAAACCAGTTTGCAGGCTATACCTGTGATCTAAGAGAGAGATGATGCTTCTGTTTAGAATAGGGAGTAGCACTAGCAATTGATAGAAATAAGCATATTGAAGAGATTTAGGGAGTAAAATTGGGTATAAGAACGATGGAGGGGAAGATAAAAGAATGACTTCCAGATGGGGAGATGGGAGGATGTCGGCATGAGTAGTTCAGAGGAAATCTCCCCAAAACATATTTATTTATGAAAATACAATAAATACAACTATTCCTAAAAGAGACACCAGTGGATGCAGTACAACAGCCAGGATACATCTACATCTGCGAGAACTCAGCATCACACAAAGGGGGTAAGATACAAGCTGCGGCCAGGTGGGACCCGAACGCTTCCCCACCCCAAAACCCAGTGGGAAGAAAGGAGTCGGAATGGCATGGGAGTGAAAGCCCAGGACTGCTAAACAACCAGCTCTAGAAATCCACACCCAGAATGCAGACACAAGGTGCACGGGGTGCTGGATATTAGAGAAATGGAAAAGCAAAACCTGTGGGCAGGTCCCCACAACCAGCGCCCCTGAGACAAAAGAAAAGCAAGTGCTTTCTGCAAGTCTTAAAGAGACAGGGACCCCATAGCTGGATGAAGTTGTCCCGGCAGCTGGGAATACCGGGGAAACTTAGGCGCCCTAAATGGAGGCAGTACAGCTCTAAAGCCCCTCACAGCACTAGGCAGCCTGCCAGTCTTTCCTCCAACTGGCACGGACCCTGACACATGGGCCCAGTAGCAGGAGAGTGGGAGCGCGCGATGTGGGCGGAAGCACTAGAAGGAATCGAGAGCAGATCCATGCGCCACAGGGCTAGACTGCAGCAGCGCGACCAAACAGTCCGGGCGCGGCTTGCATGCACTGGCAGCAGTGAAGCCAGAGCTCAGTAGAAGCCTGTGCGAAAAGCCCTGCGCACATGGGCAGTGGAGCCAGAGGGAGCAGGCACGATCCCAGAAGCCGACCAGAATCCCAGCCCAACGCACAGCTGCCCAAGCCTGACACAAAGGACACTGTTGCTACACAGCTTCCCGGCAGGGTCGCCGCTAGCACGAAAGAGCACACCGGGCATGCCTGCCATTCCCCACAGTGCTCTGCACTGCTCTGATGGACACCCCGCCCACAGCAGCTTAGGATATTAACCCAGTGGCTGCTCCAGGAGTGCAGGTAGCCGTCACAGGCAGCGGAGAAGGGCAAAGCATCCAGCAAGCAGGAAAGGATTTTCTCCTCCCAGATGACACACCCGCAACCTTCCTACAGCCACTGCAATCACCATGAAAAGGCAAAAAAATCTGGTCCAGTCCAAGATAGTTACACCTGAGAAAGGATCTGCAGAGGCAGACCTAACCAGTCTCCCTGAAAAAGAATTCAAAATAAAAATCATAAACATGCACACAGAGCTGCAGAGAAATATGCAAGAGCTAAGGGATGAAGTCCGGAGGGAGATTACAGATGTCCGGAGGGAGATTACAGAAGTGAAACAAACACTGGAAGGATTTACAAGCAGAATGGATAGGATGCAAGAAGCCATTGATGGAATAGAAACCAGAGAACAGGAACGCATAGAAGCTGATGCAGAGAGAGATAAAAGGATCCCCAGTAATGAAACAACATTAAGAGAACTGTATGACCAGTTGAAAAGGAACAATATCCGCATTATAGGGGTACCAGAGGAAGAACAGAGAGAAAAAGGGATAGAAAGTGTCTTTGAAGAAATAATTGCGGAGAACTTCCCCAAACAGGGGGAGGAAATAGTTGCTCAGAGCACGGAAGCACACAGGACTCCCAATAGAAGGGGCCCAAAGAGGACAACACCAAGACACATAGTAATTAAAATGGCAAAGTTCAAGGACAGGGACAGAGTAATAAAGGCAGCCAGAGAGAGAAAAAAGGTCACCTACAAAGGAAAACCCATCAGGCTATCATCAGACTTCTCAACAGAAACCCTACAGGCCAGAAGAGAATGGCACGATATATTTAATGCAATGAAACAGAAGGACCTTGAACCAAAGATACTGTATCCAGCACGATTATCATTTAAATATGAAGGAGGGATTAAACAATTCCCAGATAAGCAAAAGTTGAGGGAATTTGCCTCCCACAAACCACCTCTACAGGGTATCTTAGAGGGACTGCTCTAGATGGGAGCAATCCTAAAAGGAGCACAGAACAAAACACCCAACTTACAAAGAATGGAGGAGGAGGAATAAGAAGGGAAAGAAATCATCATCAGACTGTGTTTATAACAGCTCAATAAGCGAGTGAGGTCAGACAGTAAGGTAGTAAACAAGTTAACCATGAGCCTTTGGTAGCCACAGATCTAAAGCCTGCACTCGCAATAACTAGATATCCTTCAATAATCACCCTAAATGTAAATGGACTGAATGCACCAATCAAAAGACACAGAGTAGTAGAATGAATAAAAAAGCAAGACCCATCTTTATGCTGCTTACAAGAGACTCACCTCAAACCCAAAGACATGAACAGATTAAAAGTCAAGTGTTGGAGACAGATATTTCCTGCAAACAACAGAGAAAAAAGCAGGTGTTGCACTACTAGTATCAGACAAAATAGACTTCAAAATAAAGAAAGTAACAAGACATAAAGAA